CGATTTTTTATATATGTATATATGTAAAATTTCCACGAATTCTAAAATCTTTTAAAAGTTACTTCTTCATCTTAAACACCCTGCCAAAGAGAACCCCCTTGCGAATAAATTATATTTACTGCATCTTACTACCGCCCTGCTGACGCGGGGCAACTAAATTAGAACTCAATTTAGGTATATCTTTAACATATTTATGTTTTTGAACTGCATGAATGCAGTTTATGTAAAATTTTTAAACAAAAGAAGTGCTAGATAATATTTTAAATTCCATGAAATAAAATTTGTCTGAAATAAATTATGTGTCAACTATAATATAGTTTATAAAATGTCCTGTACAAGGAAAAAGCAAATTTTTTCTTAGTAACATTTGTTTTTTCTAAAACCTTTTATTAAAAATATATTTTTTCTTCATCTTATCAGGATAGGCGGCAGGTTTTTGACGTTCTCAATTTATTTCAAAATAAAAAGTCATAAGAACCTTAATTTTTTTTTTCTTTTTTGAGTAGTGGAGCACGCGCATTATTATTTATCATGTGAATTCTCTTGCTGTACTCGACCCTCTTAACCCCAGGCCCTTGACAAGACCTCCCTGTTCAATATAATTCTATTAAATTATATACGTATATAAAAAAATAGATAGCTATATTTGGCGATTCTTCGCTCTTTACGAAGACGTTGATTAATTTTCAACTATCACTTTCACCATCATGTATTTACTATAATTATAGAAAATTAATTATCTAAGTATAATTTTCTTTGAAAGAAGAAGAATAATTATTGTAAAATACGGATCAACAATTCTTAATACCTAAATTTTTAATGTACAATTTACGCTTGGTACCAATTATCACTGATAAAAGAAGAAGAAAAATAAAACGTCCTACTATCCTTATGGGGAAAGAACATTTTTATTTTTATTCGCTAAAATGCTAATTGCTAAAATGAAATTCACTATTTCATAAACATAGCTGAAAGTAGATTACGTAAATAATAGATAATCATATAAACTAATATATAATCATAATCTTATTCAATACATTTACATAACCATAATCTTATATAGTAGGTTATGTAAATATTAAATAGATTTGCTGAAAAGTTTAATATCATATAACCATGGACATACGTACGTAACCATAAGTAAAACATTTCGAAATAAATATTTTATGAGATAATAATAAATATTAATTTCATGAATTAATAATTATTGATTTTTATAAATTTTGCCTACAGAAATTTTTATGAGGTTGAAATGCAAAATTTATGGACAATATTTTTTTTATTAAATAAAAATCTTTAATGATATTATCTTGAAATATTTTGGTATTTCTGGCTATTTTGTCCATTTCATTTTACCCAATGACGTGGCAAAGATGTAATGGTCAAATCAATACTTTTTCATAAATATGTATAGGTGTTGCTAAATTTATCAAAATTTTCTATTGTTTATTATCATCATAGTCTCAAATAATGTATGATTTTGGATTTTTCTGCCCGTGAGTGATATGGACTATGTCATATTAAATTTCAAGTGGATTCCTTTAAAATCTAATTGCATTAGTATGGGGCTTTTTTTAAAAAATTAGTTTTCTATTGTTTAATTTCTTTAAAATTCAGATCTGTAGAAGATTTTGTGATCAGATTAGTATGGTTGATTCAGTAATAAAAGTAACCGGTTTCATTCTTGTTACTGATAAGGTTTTTTTTTTTTTTTTTTTTTTTTTTATTTTTTTTTTTTTCTCGAAAAGAGTTATTAATTATGTCTCTACTTTTTAGAATACTATTTTAGAATATATTTTCCTACTTTTTAAAACATACTTAGCTCTGAACTCGTTATCTAGAATTTTTTTTAGCGTCCTTTCAACTTTGAGATATCGAGAGTATGTTGTATAAGGTTAGGGAAAGGTTTATATATATAAAAATATATATATATAAACAAAACATCAGTAATTTCTAGTTGTGTAGTGATTTTCGATTTATTTCTACTGAATGCCCCCACCGGCGTCAGACTTCTAGTCTCCGCCATTTTTCGTTCTTGACTTTTTTTTTTTCTTTTCGATTATTGAACTTATATTTACTTTAACAATAGACATGTCGCGTGGGAGTTGGCTGAATCAATGACGAAACGAGGCTGGCTTTATAAGATATTAACTGAAGGTATGAAAAAAGTTTTTGTCCATCCCGGCTACTTTCTTCATCTTCTTGTTTCACTCCTTGAAGAATTCAGAATCTTAAAATAAATCATAAGCCACAAAAGCATTAGATTTGTGAGTCAGATTGCTTTGAGGGGGAGGGAGGGGGATCGCCTTATGAATGAAAAGCGTAACAGTTATGAATGGAAAGTTTTAACAGTTTTATGGACCATCACAATTCCATTATATCATGATCAAACACTGTTCACTAAAATATATATTTCAATTTTTTTATGTATTGAATAAATTGATTATAGTAATTTTTTGGTTATTCTTAAACTCAATAAAATCAAATCAAATCAAATAAAAATCAAATATAGTTTGTTATTTAATTTTAAAATTTTTCTCTGCCTATTAGCTATTAAAACCTTCAGAATCTTAATAAATTAGAATTAATTATTTTCTGCCATTTATTACTTATTACCACCTTTCCACATGAAAATAGAAGTATTCAGAATCTCATGGATTATTAGTTTTTAATTATTGGAATTCAAGACCTAATACCATTTGCTAATTCTTGGCATTCAAGACTCAATACCGTTCGCTAATTTTTGGCATTCAAGACTTAATACCGTTTGCTAATTCTTGGCATTCAAGACTAAATACCGTTTGCTAATTCTTGGCATTCAAGACTTCATACCGTTTGCTAATTCTTGGCATTCAAGACTTAATACCGTTTGCTAATTATTCACATTCAAGGTTTAATACCATTTGTTTATTCTCGGTATTTTATATTTGATACCATTTATTAATTATTGGCATTTAGTAACTAATACCATTTGTTAGTGATTGGAATTTAATAAGTAATTCCATTTGCTTATTATTATTACCACCTTATTGACGAGTAAAATACTCAGAATCATAAAAAGATTTAGCTTTCTAATCCAGATTGATTTAAATAAAAAGGGAGGATATGTAGCTTTATGTGTGTAACACTAACTGATATTGTTGACTTATACCATTTTTAACTTTCATTATATTTTAATCGAGTATAGCATTGCTTTGAACTACGATTTTTCTTTCGGATATATTCCATTTATATCAATATTTAAGGTATATGGCACTTGTTCAATGGTTTCGTTGAACCAGTTTTGAATCGTTAGATAAATTCATTTTAAAAATTTTCAATTCTACACAGAAACACTAACGTATAAAGATATACCCCGTTGTTAGGGCACCGAACAGTCATTGGTAAGAAACGGGGTTCCATCCCCGGCAGCGACTGGAATACCACCCAAATTCAGATCAATGGGTGCCTATTTTTGGCATGATGCCGTTGGTCTTGAAATTGAGGAGCCATACTCTTTTTCTGTGTTTTTTTTTATGCTATGCTTTCCATGTTTTATGTTCTTTTTATGAAAAAAATATTTTTTATGCTATGTAATACATGTTTTCTTCTATTTTATGAAAAAGTAACTTCATTACGTTAATGTTTTTCATATTTTTTAACATGATTTTTTTTTCTTCTCTATTTTAGTTTAATGGTAAAAAACAGGCTCCACTATTGAGGCGGAAAGTGTGTCTATTCAAAGAAGGATTCAGCGAAGAACATTTTACAGTCATCCGGTCCCTGTATGATCCAACATGGTACGTTGGCTTCAACAGGAAAGGAAAACCACTGAAAGGAAATCTCCATTCCATCAAAAAACACGAAAAATGTTTTAATTTCATTAAAAGAGAGCACGTGTATGGTTTAGACGCAAATCCACCTCCGTCACCAATCCAAATCAAAAACCCGTGGAAACTTAAAGACCTTTTACCTCCCCGACCTTTTGGACAAAGAAAAACAGTGCCAAGAACGCCAATAAGGTGAACATTCGTTTCACCGTCCTTAAAATTGTTAGATTATTGCGATGTTATTTTGGTTGTTATTGCTTCCTTTTTTCCTAAATGCTGCTCAGCATCAAGGCAGGACCTTGAGAGAGTGTTGGCAGAAAAATGCTCGCCAAATATGCTGTCTGCTGTAGGAATCCGTGACCACGCTTAAAATTCTTCGATTGAGGAGAACGAGACGAAAATGCTGGGGACTGGCTTCTATGAATACGAACGAAAGTGCCAATTTTGTGTTCTTAAAAACTCCCAAGACTGAAATAAAACATTCTGCGGACTTTCCTCACCATTCCATGTGGATGTTTAAATGTTCTAAATCCCTTCCCATTAGATTAGAACATTCGTATATACGTAGTTTTTTTTTTTAAGAAGAAATTTAATGTTATTTATTTCGAACGTAGAAATTATTTATTACTATAGATCTCTCATCATCCAATTGTTCTATTTTCATGTATTAATGTCATAGGTGCTTTCAAACAGTTGAATCTTGTTATCATTACAATGCAAATCTGTTTGTGCATCATGCTATATAAACACTTAGAGTTGGGAAATAAGAATCAAAAAATTTCAATCAGTTCATGTCAATCAGAATACAATCAGTTCAGGATTGGAAAAAAAATTCAAGATAATTGTAAAACGAAATTTTATTCGAATTAACGATTATAACTGAGGGATTCAAGCGAATCAATCTCAGTACAAGTCGTTCGTTATGATCAATTGATTTACATCAGTCCATTTTTATACTAATCACTGATTATACTTGATTGATTCATATCCACAGGTTAGACTCACTTATCGGAGCCAGTATTAAAATCAATCAAACATATTTTATTCCAATCAAACGGTTTAGAATTATTGTTACCGAGAGACAAGAAATAATTTGGACACATACAATACAAAATTCCAATTCTCATGTGAATATCACAACCAAACTCTCAAATGACCACAAAAATTTGACCATGAAAATATTACAACCAGGTAACATATTTACTAAAGTGACCACTTCTGTTCTTAATCGTGTAATCGTGTCAGATATTTTTCACTCTCTTTGCACGAGCATTCTTTTAAGAATGACTAAGTCTTATGAGGTTTAGCACTAACTTTTGTCTTCTAGATGGAGCCGACAAAAAAAAATCTTTTGATTTAAGTCTGGTGAATAAGATGGCTGTACTTGTGTTGTAAGGAAGTTTGGAAAATGTGATTTACGCTCTTGTTGAGTGTCTTTAGCTCTGTTGGAACTAAATCTTGCTGGGAGGTCAATTTTTAGTTCTAAAAAACTTTTGTGCCTAACAAAAGTTTACTGTAAAAATATTCGGTTTTAAACTTTGTCCAAATTATTTCTTGTGCCCCCTTAATTGAAAGTTCGTTTGAACATCAATAAATGAAGTAAAAAAATTAATTACTTAATCACGCGGTTTGAATGCTAAGCCTAAATGGAACCAAAAGTGCGTATGGTTACTCTTAGTTTAGCTGATTTTCTTATATGATTTGATGGTTTATCGCGATAACCGAGAAAATCAAGTAGTACCCATCAATTGAATATTGATATAAATTCCAATTATCAATTGAATTGAATGTTGGTATGAATTCAGAACATCAACTTGAATATTGATGTTTTGAATTGACGAATCGGTGATTCATTACCCAACTCTGAAAACTCACTGCTCTGTGACTTCTAAATATTATTAAGCTAGATATAGAAATGGGTATTCTTACAAATATCAAGTGTCTTTTTATGAGGAAAGTCCGTTTGCATTCGCTAATAGCAGTTTTCTTAACTTCCGAAGTTTTCATTCTATGTCATTTGTCAATATGTGTACAGTACATTTGTTAGTGTGTTGTTCTAATCATGTGCCATCACCCAAACATTGATGGTTGTTCATGTTTTTAAAACCATATTTTTCTCAAATCATTCCAAAGTGTGGCCTGACGCCCAAAACACCAATTCCATTGTTCATTCATTGCTGTTGTAAATATTTATGAAAGTTATAAATTATTTAAGTTTGTGAGGGGTTTAATCGAAAATGTTTTATGTTATCTCTATATAACTATTTTTTAATAAATACTTTTATTAAACTAATCGAAAACTAAATGAACCATTATGTGATTTTTTTATGTGTGAAAAAAAGTCGTTAATAACACGCCAAAAGCATGAATCAGCCAATTGGGTAAGTGGCAGTTTCGTGGTTTTGGCGTGGTACCAACGCTGTCTTTATAGAATCCATCAGTATCCTCTTAGCATTGATCTGGCACATCGTAGTATTTGCATGTTTCATTGCCGAAATAAATATCACAATTGACATGTGATCACAACTAAACCGCAAATTAATTCAATTTTTTTTTTTTAAACTTCTCTACTTAAAGTCACTAGTAAAATCTTAATAGCTTGTGACATTTATAGAAGGGCTCCAAACTGCAAATACTACGAAAATTACAATATGATTACTAATTAAGTGTTGAAGAGCTTAGTAGAAAGTTAAATTATATTAAGAATATGTTAAGTTATATTTTAATTTTTCCTATCTTTTTTGTTTAATGAGCAAAACATGTTAAGTTGCATTAAAAAAAAAAAAGAAAAAAAGAAACAAGTCTTCAGGTTAAGAAATTGAACATATGTTAAGTTACATTTAAAAGAAAAAAGAATAAATTTCCAGGTTAATTAACCAAACATGTTAAATTACATTTCCCAAACAATTTCATTTTTGTTTTAAAAAATTAAACATGTTCAGTTTCATTTCTCTGAAACCATCTAATTTTCCTGTTAAAGAACAGAACATTCTAAGTTTTCATTTTCTGTAACCATCTAATTTTCATGTTAAAGAGCAGAATATTCTAAGTTTTCATTTTCTGAAACCATCTAATTTTCGTGTTAAAGAACAGAACATTCTAAGTTTTCATTTTTTGAAACCATCTAATTTTCGTGTTAAAGAACAGAACATTCTAAGTTTTCATTTTCTGAAACCATCTAATTTTCGTGTTAAAGAGCAGAACATTCTAAGTTAAAAAAATGAGATTTTCAATATGGGGAATGGTGAATTTTCTAACATTCCCCTCCTTTTTTCTGTTTATTGTAAAACTAATATTCTCAAATTCCCAATAATTTTATTTAACTTTTACTAAGCTCTCCAACTCTTTTTAAATGTTATATTTATTTTACTTTTTAAATATGAATGCACTATTAGTTAACTGAGTATAATGTATTATTGCTATGTTAATTAACTGAATATAATGTTGTCAATTATTTATTATAATGCATTTTTAACGTGTTAACTGATGTATTGTCTCAAAACACTTTTTATGTATTGTCTCGAAAAGAAAATGGCTAAATTTTCAAATCCAATTATAAAGTTAAACACCAACAATAAGTATTAAAACTGAAATATATTTCTTTTTATTATTAATTGTAACATTAAAATTATTATAAGTTTTCAAAATCTTTTTGTACGCTTTGCATGAAAAAAAATTTCCATCAATATATTCATATGTAGTATTTTTAAAGATTCATCTGTTTGATTTGAAATTTTCTAGTCATAACGAAGCATTCATTATAAATTTTTGCATTATTCTCACCGTCAACATCTGTTATCTAAAATCCATTTTACATTAATCCATGTTCTTTAAATTGAAGTTAGTATTTTTTTTTAAATAAAAATTCTTTTAAAGTTACTTATATCGTGTTTTGTCAATTGTTACTTGTACTAATACCTTAAACAAAGATTGAAAAAATTTCTAAAATACGAGAAGAATACCTAATTTTTTGTTTATTTTGAAAAACTAGGTTTTCTTAAAGCATGGTTTGGAAGTATTTCTCAAACACATATTACTGTAATAAAATACGTATTTGCAGTTTTACTTCCTGGTAGAGTGTTGTTATTAACCCATTGCAAACGGATTACAAGTTTTATCCGATTTTTCTTAACTTATTGAAGTGGAAATAATTATTCTTTCAAACTATACATACAGAGGTAATTTGTATATATTTTACTATGTTACTTTCTAATATATAATTTGTTGTTAGTTAAAGTACAACGTGTTAAAATACTATGTTCGATAACAAAACATTTATGTTATATTTCATTTACGACTTACAAGTTTATCATATTGTACCTCAAGTTGTGAGAATTAAATTTGACTAATAATTTAAATTGAAAACGATAATTTTAACAATTTAAATTGCAGCAAATTATTTAAAAGCGCCTACAATTAATTTATTATGATCAAAATTGCAACCGATTGTTTTACTGACAATTAATTATTAGAATGGCAAACGATTACTTTATTTATAATACAAACACCAACTAATAATTCAAAATTGCAAACGATAAATTTACTTATAATTCAAATTGCCACTGATTACTGATAATTCAACTACCAACAATTGCTTTCCATATAGTGCAAACGATACAAAACCTCAAAATGCAAACTTAGGTGTTCCAATTTTTCACACACACAATAGAAATGCATGTACCATATAAAATTATGCATGTTCTATATTTGTAGTAATTGTATCATCGGAACGTAATATTCAATTCCCTATTTCACATCTTTTGATATTCAGATTAAACATATGTTCCTCTTTCTTTGAATAAAAAAAAATAGTGGGGTTTGGTTGTATTGTTAAAATAAGTACATTGTATTTCTGTGATCGTTTTCTTTTTATACTATTTCAATGGTGAATATCTAATACGATTATATTTTCATGGAATATTTAATGCGATAACGGTAAGTGATGCTTTTACATAAATGATAAATTGCAATAAAAAGCTTCTTTGATCTTTTTTTTTTTCTGCAGCATTCTCAACGTAAAACTATTTTTAATTTATGTTTTGAACTCGGAAAAAATTAGGACATTGAGATAAATATGTTAAATTGAATATTATGCATTAGAAGTAATTAAAATTACATTTATTAAATTTTTTTTTTAGATATATTAGACAAATTACTAGGATAATTTTATTTCTTAATTTAGATGTTTTTCTTGTAATATTAAGTATTTTTCTTTGAATTACTTGATCTCTCAAAGCTCAAAATGTTCCTCGCCAATTAAAAAACCCGCAATCTTATTACTTTTGAATTATTTTTTAAAAATGATTGTATACTCAATAAGCTCAATGTATAAATTTTTTTTTTTAAATTTTATTTGCGTATGTTTTCTTACTTTTAATAACAATGCTCGATTTTTATTTATGTGTAATAAATTCCTTGCATGAGATTAAACTTCAGAAAAAAGGCAGACTTATTATTTTTTTTTGTTAAACCAATGTTTTACTGGAATTAGTATCTAAAATGGATGCAATATATATCCAAAAATAATATATCTTTTCTTACGTTTGATATCAATACTTGATTTTTATTCATGTGTAATAAACTCCTTGCATGAGATCATAAACTTCAGAAAAAAGGCAAACTTATTGTTTTTATAACTTATTTTGTTAAACTTATTTTGTTATAACTTTTTTGTTAAGACAGTTTACTAGAATTAGTATCGAAAATGGACACAATATATATCCAAAAATAATATATCTTTTCTTACTTTTAATAACAATGTTTGATTTTTATTTATGTGTAATAAATTTCTTGCATGAGATTAAACTACAGAAAAAAGGTAGACTTATTATTTTTATAATTTGTTTTGTTAAACCAACGTTTTACTAGAATTAGTATCCAAAATGGACGCAATATGTATATCCAAAAATGATAGATCTTTTCTTATGTTTGAATAACAATGCTCACCTTTCATTTAAATGCAGCAGATGGTTAAGCGTTATTCAAGTTTGGGGTAATCGCAAATGCCATTTCCCTCCTCTCACATCACAATGTCAATAAAATTTGCTGAAAACGGGCCAAGTGGAGGGTAAAATAAGGGTTTTTTCGATTAATAGTCGTTTTGTCATCATCTCGTGTTTTGTGTCTAGAAACAGCTGGTCACACGACTAGTCACCACCTACAACATTGTGTTGCCATTCTGTTCCTAGTAATAATACTCCACATTTCGTTCGTTGATGACATATAGGTTTGCTTGTCAAGTCTACCTTACTAATTTATGTAAACAAACTTTCCAGCATTGTGCAATTGAGATCTTAACAGGAAATACGATTCGAATCGAAGAACTTAATTCATGAACACGTTAAGTTACATTTTAATGAGTATAGAAAACTGTTGGCTTAGCTTCTCTTTGTTGTTATTTATTAAAGTTGGTGAAATGAATGTTCTATAATTACAGCTGAACACAACGTAAACTGAAAATTTATTGTTTGTGAAAGTGTTACTTAACGTTTTTCTTCTTTTAAACTATTCATTAAAAGAAATTAGTGTTATTTTTGCAACTTGAAATGAGAATAGTTAGTTAAATGCAACAAAATCTATAATAGAACTGTTGGTTAACATGATTTTTCGAAGCTTTATCACCAAGGAAAATGAAGAAAACCACAGTTTAGGTGTCTTATACTTGAGGCAAAGCTATAATTGTTAACTATATTTTCCATCTTGGCGTGAAGTGAGCTTTAGAACGGACAAATGACTTAAAATTTTTTAAAGTTATTAAACTTTTTAAAAAAAATAGCCAATTGGGCAACATATTTTGCCCGCAGTTGAAAATTACCAAAATCACTGCCTTGTTCTAAATTTTTGCAAATTTTTATGAGCTCAGATAATGCGGCATTGGAATAAGTTTTTAAGTATTAAAAATTTAGACCACAAACACTTTTCAATTTCACAAATCTGTGGTTTTTCTCCATATTGATGCTTTACGCTTCTTTCAATATAAGCATTGTCATCATCTCGTGTTTTGTGTCTGCTGACACAATTGTTGTGTCAGCTGAACTAACGGTCATGAGTAACTGTTGCAAATTTACAGCAGTTATGAAAATAGGATATCATTCTCAAAAAAGTATCATTTCATATGACGACGAAGCTTTCTAAAAACAGCCTTTTAAATTATTAGAACAATTTTTATTCAAATAAAAGAAGAAGAAAAAGAACTATCACAGTATCACCTCTTGTAATAAGTAGCCATATCACCTTCTATCCCAATGCAAACATACTCAGTTTAATTAATGTACTCTTCCAAAGTTCGTCACAAATATATCATAGTTCATTTCTAGAATAACATCTAGTGTGATATTAGATTTCTTTCTTAGAAATCGAGAGGAAATCCCGAGAGGTTTGTCCTTATCGTTATGAGGCAGTCATAAAGGTACTTATTGTAAATAACGTGCCGGCAACACCTGTAAGAGATGCGCCGTGGCCTCCTTCCAACAACAAATACAGAACTCTTTAAGAACTCTAAACAAACAAAAAGAATAAAATAAAAGGAAAGGTGTTGTTAAAGTGTCTTGTTGC